TTCGTATTATAATTCAATATTGACACGTACATATAACAAGTACGTACGTAATGCACGCGTACAATATAGGACGGAGTAACTAACAAATACTTCCTCCGTTCTGTTAATATTGCAACGAGGAGGAAATTACGATCCCGAAACACCTTTTATATGCTAAATATCTATAATTGTGTAAGAGTAAAAATTATAAAAAGTTGATATTGTGGAAGTATTTTATGAGACGAATCCAACGAGATCACACTTAACCATATTTTGCTTAACGTATAACTCATATTATATGGTCAAACAAGAGTGATGAATAGTGCAAAAAGTCAATTGTTACAATATTAATAGAACGGATGAAGTATTATTTATTAGCATGCGTACAATAGAGTAGCCTATGCTAGTAGGACTACTAGGATATGTATAAATTTAGAACATAAAGAACTAACATTGATAAACCAAGACCATATCAATCACTTGGTTATTATTGTATAAATACTCCAAAATCATACGTAGTAGAAAATTAAATTAGGGGCACATTTAAAATTTTGATTGGAGCATCTTCACTATGTGTTCATCTAGCTGGAAGGCCTTGCTTAGTACATCAACATTGATAGGTGGATCAGCCCCGAAAACGGCGTTAGCAATGGTGACCGTACCAGGGTTTTGGCTGCTTAGTCCAGCAATAGCAATGGCAGGATATTTTCCAATATTGAATTGAAAATGAATGAGGCCTTGTGGAAAAACAAACACATCACCTTTGTTAAGCACCTTTGTAAACAACTTATTATCGCCGTTAGCAAGGTTGGAAGTTACAAAGCCTACATAGAGGGTTCCTTCAATGACTGTAAGGATTTCACTTGCACGAGGATGTGTGTGAGGAGGGTTAAGGCCGTAAGGCGCATAGTCAATCCTAGCCAATGAGATGCCGAGGGTGTTGAGCCCTGGAAGTTGTAATGCAGAGACTAGTGTAACAGCGGATTGTACCCTATTGTTAGTGTCCCCTGGCTTGTCTAGCCCATCCTTAAAGAAATCCTCGGGTTTAGCATCCATTGGATTCTTGCAAAGCAATCCATTCACAAACACTGCAAATTTTTAAATACTCCTTAGTCAGCATCAATTTTAAAAGTAAAGTACATATCGAAATTAAAATTAAATAAATTCACAAGGTTTGTTATCAAATTGGACAAAAAAACATACGCTCACTATTTGGGTCATTCACCGCAACACAGAAGTCTTGTAGCTGAGTAGGATCCGTTGCATAGGCCATGTAGGAAGACATGGCTAAGAAAGTAAGGTAAACAAGAAAATAACGAGCTTCCATCTCTTTTTCTTATGAAATTGGTTAGTTACACTCAAATAATTAATGAATAATGAGACTATGTGAGTATTACTAAAGTGTAAGTTATAATCTTCTTGCATGGTAAATGATCCCTTTTATAGTTGAGGTTGGATAACTAGACTATGTTTCGAAGAAGTATACGTAGAATTGGTCATTAATCATGAAACTTTCTAGTCTATTTGTTTAGTTTTTCAATGAGGGTAGTTAATTAATATTTTAATTTTCTCACTTAGCAGGTAATGACCTCGTCAATCTTGCATTGTATAGTCGTCGAGGAGAATGATATGGTTTTATATAATCAACTAATGTCGTAAGCTTAGGTTAATCAGTTTGAGTAGGACGTTTTAGTTATGCAATATCTGAATAGTTAGAGTAGGATGTATTAATAATGCAAAATACTGTACTTTAACAAACATGTACAAACAACTAAAAAATGTTTTTCTAACTAATACTTTCGGGTTTTTTTTTTTGGTATGTTTCACACTTTACTTACCTTTTGTTTTCTTTTAATTTTTTTCTAAATTCTACACTACGTACCTGTATATGATAAATTATTATTACTCCATCTATCTCTTGTCATATTTTTATGCTCAAATTTTGAAAACTTTGACCAATACTCGTAATTCTCAATAATGTGTTTGATAATTTTATAGTATAAGCCACTATAAAGTCATGTTCTCTTCACTTATTTTTATTGAATTAGAATTATTATTCATATATTTAAATTATTTTTGCTAAGTACTAAAAAAAATTCTTTATTAAAACTTTCTTTTGTTGATTCATTGTTATATTTGTTCTTTGAGAACATTGATTTTTACTAGATTAAAACTAATTTTGCTGCATTTAATTTATTTTTACTAAAATTATATTTGAATATTACTGTTCTAACATGAAGTATAACAATTATTTAGTATACATTTTGATTAATTAATTTATGGTCAAACAAAATACAAAGTAAAAATCATATTGATGATACTATTCAATCACTACAAAAATATTTAAAAGCTATGACATTTGAGCAGAGGATTGGATATGTACGTGACGATGGCAAGTAAACCTAAAAGTATATATGTCACAGAAACATGTTATTTATTTGAATAATAAGAGAAATAACAATACTAACCTACAAGTAATTAGTGCTTGTTATGTTTTCAGTGTCCAATTTTGACCGACACATACTAATAATGTTTAAAAAGTGAGTACCCGTACCATAGAATACATCATGGCATCAAAAAAGCTAATGTCATGCATTGCGCCAAAATTAATAAATTCTTCTCTTTTTCTACATCATGTTCTTTGAAGAAAAACAAATTAAAACCTTCATGTATTTGTCACTCTATACATCTTTCATTCAGAAGTCAACTTTAACATTACTTAATAAGTAAGGTGCTAGGTAAGGTACTAAAGTACCATATGCACTCCATGTCAAAATTAGATAATGATTTTATCATGATTGCAAATTGATTTCAATTCCTCCCACATAAATTAATTTAAAGTTTTGGCCTGGCTTATTTTATAAATTTTCATTTAAGACGCTCTTTGAAATTTGATCATGGTGTGCCATGGCTCATGGGCATGGCCGCATGGTTAATGTTAAAGGTTTGTTCCTCCAATACTCCTGTCAAATTAATTAAGACAAAGCACATTCAACTCTGAACCATTTCATTCACTACAAAACTTTAGTCACTCAAATTTAATAAGAAAAATTTGTAAAAGAAGGACCTTTTAACTGGTCGATTTTTTTTAAAAGAATATCTATACTATCTATTAAAAGGCGTTTCTTTTAAAGGAACGGTGCCACATGGCACTCTTCAAAGTATGTGTGTTATGTCTCAATGCCACATCATCATCCAAAGTATATAAGTCACATAAGCTAGCCAGTTCACTTAACAAAATAAAATATGCTTTGAACAAGTACTTGAACCCATAACCTCCAATACATATAGGTAATACATTTACCATCTCAACCAACTATTATTGATGTTACAAGTTTGACATAATATTATATATTTATTTCAATTATTAAGTAAATTAGAGGTAATATAATCCATTTATTTTTCACAAGATTAAATATAAATTAAAAAAAAAAAAAGGTGACATTCGAAATAATGTCCGAAACACTATACACGCTAACTATACAAATAGTCGAATATAATTAAGTACACAAACTAGCAGCCCGGGGTACACACTAGTTTTAAGTGAAAATAAAGTTGTGAAAAAAAGACCCTTTAAGTTATATTTTGTTTTCAGGGAGTACTTAGATGAGTTTTCTGGGTGATCAGGAGCTGCGGTGTTGACTTTCACGTGTTAGTCACGTGAGTTAAACAAAAAAAAAAAATCCCCCCAAATTTCCCTCATGTTCGAACTACTCCTTTCATTTTCCCCCTTTATTTCTCTTTCTTTCTCTACCCCAAAATTTTGGTTTTTTTAAAACTCACGTAAGTAACACGTGAAAGTCAACACCGGAGCTCCGACGTTGACCACCCGAAAAACTCACCCAAGTACTCCTAAATAAATTATACACTTTAAAGATCTTTTTTCACAACTTTTCACTTAAAACTAGTTATTGGCCCGGCGATTCCCCGGGTCATTATAAATTTATTACTTTAATTGAACTATACGAAGTATATATTTTGGCTTGTTTGTCATTGAGAGCTTTTTTTTTTTTTAATATGATAGCTTAAGTAGTTAGTTGTTAGTATGAGCTGGTTTGACCCTCCATATAAGGTAAATGATAAATCAATCCAATGTGAAAAAAAATATATAATTGATAAATCAAATCTGTATAAATGTCAATATATATACTACAGAGTACTCCATGATGCACCCTAAAAAATACTCTTTAATTACAATTGTAATATATATATATAAATCAAAACTTTTACTCTATATTTACAATCTTATGAATTAATGCATACAAATATGGACTAATTTTAGTTTCTTACATATTTTATTATTATGCAATTATTAAGGAGTTACATTCCAAGGTAGGGGAATTTAAATTGAGTGTTATGTATATGAAGAGTTTTTCAATTAAACAAAATATTACGTAATATATAGAGGTTATGCATACATTGAGTTTTCAATCATAAATGAATTTGTATGATGTGGGGTCACAATATATGTCAAATGGAAAAATTGGTGATACATGAAAAAGTAGCATGTATTGCCATGGGTTTTAATAATATATATTGATTGATGTCATTTTACAAAAAGTCAATCAATTAAATGGTTCTTTTTCACAAATTTAATAACGATTCAGTGCATCACTTTGAGCTAATTTCTAGTTACATTTATATATTTCAGTTAATTTAATAAAGGAAAATTTTTAAATTACCACTAAAAAATGTAACTATTTTTGAACTAACTACCCGTTTAATTTTTTATTTTAAATTACCACCCCTTAAATTAAATAAATGCTCGGATTATCACGCATTTTAAAAATTCGGTGGATTTTTTGTCTGTGGGCCCGATCTAAAGCTTATTTGGGCCCTTTTGAGTTTTGACTGATCCCGATTTTTCTCTTTAAAAACGCTCCCTTAACTTCATTTTATATTTTTCTCTTTGAAATTTGGTAGAATTTGGTGAAGGAAATGTAAATTAAAGTTTAGAGAGCGCTTTTAAAGAGAAAAAATCGGGGAAAAAATCAGTCAAAAGGGTCAAAATAAGTGTTAGGTGGGGCCTACACACGGAAAATCCACCGGATTTTTGAAATAGATGGTAATATGAGCATTTATTTAATTTTAGGAGTGGTAATTCATAATTAAAAATTAAACGGATGATTAATTCGAAAATTGTTCTATTTTTTTATGATAATTTAAAAATTAACCTTTAATAAATCAACAAATTGAAAAATAAACCTCAACACTAACCCAAACCAACCCGCTTAATTAAACGTGTGGTGTCGTATTAACCTCAACCCGCCTTTTCTTGCTGTAGTTGACTACTTGACTTCCCTCAATACCTTTTTTTTTTTATTTTGGCGACCTTGCGAGTCACGTAAGTTAGGCGGTGATTAACCAAAGACCAAAGTTTTGTCCTCCATCTTATATTAGCACCTTCAATTCGTATCCCTTTTCTAATCTTTAACAAAACCTGGGATAATTTGAGTGATTAATAATGGATGAATATCAAAAAACAGAGGAATTTGATATGGATAACGATTTTGTCGATTTAGATCAGTTTATTGAGAACGAATCCTTTTACAGAAAACCCAAAAGAAAATTTGTTCAATCAAATAATGATGTATTATTTGATAATTCAGATTCGAACAACGATGATGAAGACGAAATCTTTTTTAGGAAGAACATCAAGAAAAAGAGTAGAAGAATTGGCGGGTTAACTGATACGTTGGTTCGTCACATGAATCCTGTAAATTTTGCATCATCTTATAAGGATGATTTAAGGGAGAATAATGTTGGGGGTTTCGAGAAATACACGAAAGGTATTGGGATGAAGTTGTTGCAGAAGATGGGGTATAGTGGTGGTGGGTTAGGGAAGAATGAACAAGGTATTGTTGCTCCAATCGAGGCGAAGTTGAGACCAAAGTTAGAAGGATTAGGGTATAATGATCATAAGAGGGAGACTGAAGTGTTGTGGAAAGAACGAGGTCGAGTTCGTGTTCGTGCTGATAAGGTGCATCAGGATATTGTTGTTCCGGCAGGAAAAGACAGTTATGATATGCCTATGCAGGAGTTGCAGTATAATGTAGGGTTGGTGTCAGACTTGATGAAGCTTGATGTTGAGAATGTGGAGAGGAAATTGATGTTGGAGAAACAGACTGTCGTTTCGCTGCAGGAAGAGAAAGGAAGGCTTCAGAAAGAGTCTGCAGATCAGAAGAAGGAGATTGATTCTATGGAGGAGATAATTCAGGTTTTAGACAGTATTGAAGAGGAGAATGTATCAGGAAAATTGACTTCAGAGTCTGTTGCAGAGTCCTTCAGAGACCTGCAGAGGAGGTTTCCCGAGGAGTATAAACTCGGTAACCTGTCCTGTATCGCGTGTTCTTTTGCTGTTCCTCTGTTGACTAGAGTGTTTCAAGGATGGGAGCCTCTTCAGAACCCGTGGCATGGTATGGATGTCATAGCTTTGTGGAAAGGTTTGTTGCAGGGAGACGGCGAGGATCATGACATGTCTGAGGATGCAACAGCTCCGTATTCACAGTTAGTGGCCGAAGTAGTGTTTCCTGCAGTCAGAATAGCAGGTTTAAACTCATGGCAGGCTAGAGATCCTGAACCTATGCTTCGTTTTATTGAGTTATGGGAGGAATTGCTTACACCTTTTGTGCTGCAGTCACTGCTTGATATGATTGTGATGCCTAAGTTGTCTGAAGCTGTTAACTCTTGGGAACCTTGCCGCGAAACAATACCAATTCATGTCTGGATGCATCCCTGGCTTCCATTGCTTTCGCGGAAGCTTGAGACTCTTCATCAAGCCATCCTTGTAAAATTTGAAAATGCTCTCTGTGATTGGCATCCTAGTGATATGTCAGCTTACACTATCCTATCCCCTTGGAAGACAGTATTCGATTCTGCTAGTTGGGAAAAACTGATTGTTAGGTCCATTCTTCCCAAGTTGAAAGATGTGATGCAGGAATTTCGAGTCAATCCTGCTAATCAGAAACTTGAACAGTTTAACTGGGTTATGACTTGGGCTTCTGCAATTCCCATTCGTTACATTGTTAGTTTACTGGAGAATCACTTTTTCGGAAAGTGGCAACAAGCTCTGCACCACTGGCTTTGTACAAGCAAAGACTATAAAGAGATTGAGCAATGGTACCTTGGGTGGAAACAGCTTATTCCTGCTGATGTTTTGGCCACGGAACGTGTTAGGCGCCAGCTATGGCTAGGCCTGAAAATGATATATCAGTCTCTAGGTTCGGAGGAGGTTCACCCTGGTGTAGAGGAGAACATTAGCCCTTCAAGGGTGCCTAAACAAAGGCAATATGCAGCTCAACAACATGTTACAGCTTTCGCTGACAGTCTGCCTAAAAATTTGAAAGAAGTTATTGAGGTCTATGCACAGCAACAAGGCTTGCACTTTAAGCCTAAACCTGGGAGAACACACGACGATCACCAAGTATATAGCTTTGGCATTGTAAGCATCATTGTGGACTCCTTCAATCAGAAGATTTTCGCTCGAGTCCAGGAGAAATGGTCTTTGGTAACTCTTGGACAACTTGTACAGATGCAGAACATCTCTACTTCAAGGCGGCGCTGAATTTTGTTGTAAGTTGATGCCTTAACTTTGGTTTTTTAGCTGTATGAGATGTCTGTTAATTGTGATCACATAAATAGTAGAGCATGTTCCTGCATTAGGACTTGAAAAAACATTGAACAAACTCTTTGAGCATTATATGTTTGAGCCTTGATTTTCCTATCTTCATTTTATTCTGTGTGTTCTCTTAATTGTTCATCAATTTCAATTCTTTTGAGGTATGCAGAGGTTGACTGTATGTGAAAGTTCACTTTTGGATTTGGGTCATATAGTATTGGCTAAGTGCTAGGCATATATCATCCATACATCATGCATCCGAAATCTGATTTTATGTTCTCAAGAAAGAAATAGAAGACTGACCCAAGTGGTATAATACAATGTCCAATGCATCAAAGAAACTGAACTCAGATTTTTGAAGCAAAAAAATAAATAAATAAATAAATAAATAAATAAATGTTAAAGTCTTCTTGATATGTATATACATGGTAATTTGGATGAGGGTATAGCTTAATTAAGATTAATTCCTAAAATAACAGATAATTTACTCTTAAATGCGATATTATGATGTAACAAACCCTACTCCATCAAATCTAATAAGCATCAGGGCTTTGCTTCTGGTTCAGAACATGAATATTTATGAAGGCCAGAACATTGGACTCACAGTTCAGTTCATCACTCATTCTCAAACTCGCTAATGCTTCATCTGTCATAATTAAGTCTAATAGCCATTTAGAAGTGCTTTATTAAGGTCAATGGTGGTCTGAATCATTACAGAAAGACTGCTGTTTGATAAAGATAAATAAGCTGTACCAGTATTGTTTAGTTTCTTGTTTCTTTATTTCTATGCTAAAGTTTTCTTTTCTAAGTCATTTTTACTTGATTTAGAGTAGGTTTGATATGATATTTGAATTATCAACTAATACCCTGACCTAATATAGTTTAGTCTAGTACGTATCATGTCGAGTAGAAACTGATAAAAACGATCAATGCATAAGGTTAACTTAATTTTGGAAAGAAACTGACTGAAACGATCAATGCATAAGGTTAAGTCCTATTCCTTGTTCCACTATCTTCATGAATAATTGAATAAGTACTAATGAAAAGAGTCTAGGTATGGAAAAAGGTTCACTTCTGATCTATGACTTTGCTGTGAGACACAGATTTTGTTCGTGTTCCTGAAATAGTTGTCATTTTATGGTGATATCCATGCTATCTTTGACCTTTCATGTCTGCTAATCATCGAATTACTGCCTTAAGGAGGAACGACAATGGTACTCTGAGGTCTCTGACCTACATGTGCCTTTTGCAGTTTCTTGATGGACTAGTCAGAAATGGACTTGTGTGATCTGATGAACGTGAGAGATGACATGCTGAAAAACAGTGAGTTTGGACCTTCATGTTATTTTGCTAATAGTTTTGTTGATTTCAGCTAGAATATGGTCCTTGATAATTTTAGCTGGGAGTTCTTGTGTCACTACCGAGTGTAAGTTGCAACTGTCAAACAATGTTTCGCAACATCGGGATAGGCCAATTATGAAGGTAAATCTCTTTCTCATTTGCTGCTTGGGTTCAGTCTGTTTAGCTCTTGTATTGCTTTTGGTGTATTCGGTGTTTATCAGGCTGAGATTCACCAATTGGATCCCACCTCACCATCTATGCTACTAATGCTACTATGCTAGTCGACGTATCGTACATCTTTTGGAAGTTCTGTGAGTTAAATTTTATTTTCTTCTGACATTTTGTCTGATCTTGAGCAGATCTTGAACCAATATTGGAATTTTGTCTACTCTATTACTTGGACATGGGAAAACTGTATTTGTACAATTGTACACCTTATGATCATTTTAAAATTCTTTTATCCTATTATGCTGCTAACATGGATTTTATTTGTTATTTCAGATTTCATGTACAAGTGAAACAGTATCATCTTTCTTTCCTTACAGACAACAGCTGACAGGGTGATCTAATATCCCCCGGAAATGTCTGGTTTAAAACAATTTGCTCATTTTCCCTCGCCCATAATTATTATGAACTCAGCAACCCTTCTAACCCCCCCCCCCCCAAACCCTCCTCTAGTTGTTTAGACCAGCCAAATTGAATGAAGCAGTTACATACTATTTCTGTAATGCAAGCTCTTCTTGTGTGTTGCGCCTTTAACAATCCAACTGCCCTTATTTATCTGCCCCTTTACACAGCAATGGCAGCATAGAGCCTAGAATTAATAAGCAAGGCGGATGCTTTATAAGTTTTTGATCTACTTTTTTAGAAGTTCTTTACAATCTTGATATTTCTTATATCATTTGTAAACTCTGATAGTCTGATACAATGTAAACTTGGCAGGATCTAGAAATTGGTGTAACGGATGATGAAGCAATCACCGGCGATTTCAAATTCCAAATTCAGAGTCAGTGAAACACTTAAGGGATTAATTTGGCAAAGGTACTTGTAGTACCAATTATAGCTCTAAGTCTAGAGAATGGAAGTTCAGTAAGTTCATGCAACTGCAGGACAATATAACCTTTTGTTTGCGTCCTTTGTTTTGACTCCTATTTTGACAAGCTAACAAAGTAACAATTGAACATATGAAACTTGGCTGTCTCTAGTGTTGTGGTTTTTTTGTTCTTAATTTTACTCCCTATGTTGTCTTATTTCGTCTCCCTCATGCTAATATCGGTGTGTTTAATTTTTCAAAACCGAATTATGTTTATGTCAAAATTATCTTTCCAAACTGGCCTTAGGTTAGCCAACAAGTAATTGAATAAGATGATAAGTGATTCTTTATACTACGGAGTAAAATAAGAGATTTCGATTTCACCTCCAATCCTTATATGAGAATTACTTTTACCAAGAACTTGTCAAAATCATTCTAGCATTCCTGAAAATTAAATTTGGGCTCAGCCTTCATTGATGGTAGATGTAAAAATAATTGGGAAGTGGGCCATACTTCTGCAATTTACTATTCATTCTTCAGAAAAATATCTACATTGGGGCAGATCACATTAAATTGATATTTTGAAATCTACAAATGGGCCAAGAAGGCACAACACAACTTATTGCAAGCCTTTCAAGTCCATCAATAAGAATATAGTGGAAAAGTAGCCTTTTCTTTTCTTTTGTTGGTGCAATAGAAAAGAAAAAGGTAGCTTATGTACAATCGATTAGTCATTAATCATAAGATGAAAAGTTTGGTCTAATTAGTCTTTTCATTTTATTTGGACTTGTTTAGGGCCTAAACATGCACTTTAATGGTCAAAATTCATTAATGTCAAATGTCAATAAAGGTCAAAAATGACCACCTTGTTTATGTAATCCAACCAAATATACTCAATCATGTAGTGTATTATTTTTTGGTCTAATTAGTAATTGTTAGTCTTTAATATCACCTTTAGACTTTGCAAATTAAAGCTAAAGTATTGTTAAATTATTGGTACTGAAACCTAACTTATTAGAATTTATTGTATACTTGTATATGGGTTACTTTAATTAGTCCTATCCTCTTATAAAAATTTTATATGGAGTTATTGAGCATAAAATTTACAAGCGAATTCAATTTATTACTATGATAAACTTAAAATGTTTATCAAAGAGTATAAATATACTTTAAAATGTTTAGTGAGGGGTAAAAATTAATCGAGGCTTCCTCCTTACTTACCTATATGGATTCATTAAACCTTGAACTTAATTTTTATGAAATTCGATTTTTCTTAAGTATAAGCAAAAACAAGGTGTTGAGTGTTAACCTAATTAACAAATGAGTTTACAATTCTAATTTTACAAGTTTATGGAAGAAAATGACTATAAATACGCACTGGTGATATTGTACAAGAAAGTTTTTCTACTAATTATTAATCCCTATTATAATTTCATATCAATTAGGCCGAAAATACTTTTAACACCAAATCTTGTTGACATTTTCCTTTTACACTAATATTCACCTTAATTTAATTAATCAAGGGATCAAGCAACTAACCCTAATGATGGAATCCTTTCACAAGCAGGACCACTATCCACCATTAAAAGTCCATCTTAATTTTTAGTACACCAATTTATTTCAACTTGGTTAAAACCTATATATACTATAGTAACACATAAAGACCCATTATTTTGTTAAAGAAAGTAGGAAGATATTAGGGTACCCTACAAATATACTGGCGTCACCATAACTACCCTTAATTTACTAGCTAAAATAACATGACATAGCTGTACCATTGCATATGATTTAAGGGCTATTGGCCTAAATTTGAAGGGCCAAATCAACCGTTGCAGATGCCAAAGCACAGTTACCCATCTAAGCATTTTTACCACTTTTACAAAAGAACAGAGGATTTACAGTGGCAAAGTGTAGTCTACTGCCCTACTTTTTTTGGGGTTGTTACATCTTTCTTCAACTATCATATCCCCCAGATTAAGGGTATGTAGTTATTTTTTTACCATTGGGGTAAATTTTACATTAATTTTATCTGTGTCACCTGAGATTTGGCAGTAGATAAATATAAGTCAGCAAATCACATCACATATTAAAAGTAAATAATGCATAAAATTGGAAAATGTAGATTGCTTCTGAATTTTTTTGATAAAAAACTCTCATTGGTCAAACAAATTTACAATGTACAGCAGCAACTTATAATTAATACTTACTACAGTAATTAATACTACTACTCTACCCCTATTTATCACTTCCCTCTCTTTTTTCTTTAAAAACTTTTGAACTTTGTTTCTTGGAAATATTTTCCTCCTCACTCAATGCAAACAAAATGACACTAAAATTCCATTTCTTTCTTGTAGATATGGAGTATATATGAACCACTGACCCTCCTAAACTACACTGCCATGGTCGGAAGCATCTTCGTAATAGTACGGTGTCAATTTACCGTCTTTCTTCCCTGCTTTCGACATGGTCTCACCGCTCACTTCTTGCAACATTTTCACCACTCTTCTCATTGATGGACGGTTGATGGGAAGAGGACTAGTACAAAGTAACCCTATGTTAAGTAGCTTGCACACATCTTCCTTGAAGCAAGAATCAATCTTTTGATCAATTACATGGTCCACACCCTTCTGGTCCACAGTGGTGCACACCCACTTGACCAAGTCTTTCTCGCCATACTCCGGGTCCACGGGTTTCTTTCCGGTCACTAATTCCAGAATTACCACCCCAAAACTATAGGTGTCACTCTTCTCGTTTACTCGAAGTGTGTATGCATACTCTGTAAAACAAAACACGCCCACACAAAAAATTAAACACCATCCTGTGTAGCATTAACTCGATCGATGTATTGTAGAAATTGCCAACAAATTTAGATCGAAAAGAATGATTACTCCGTATAAGATTATCCTTAACCCAAGAAAAAACCCATATTTAGCCAATTAACTAACAAAAATCGATACTCAAATTCGCGGAACAGGATAGTAATCAACACTCAATCACACATGGGGATACGAAATAAGGCGTATAATAATAGTATTACTCATAAATTGAACATAGGTAATCCTTACAACTAAAGCATAGTACATGTAATTAATGGTATGTTTATTGTTGATAGCAACATGCATTTGGAATTGTCAAAGTAGGCAACTCAATTACTCAATTGGATCTTCAACACAATAAAATCAGACAGTACCATTAGTTAGTGAACAGAATTCATTATTATTCTGAACATATTCCAACAACTAAAATTCTGAATCTATTCCGGTAGTTCCAAAGAAATTATACTACATACCCAACTAATAATAATTGCATAAAACTATTTATTCCATATCCTTTTTCACATTCTATAATTATCCACAGAATTTATGTTAATGACAGAACATGCTACTATATTAAGTACCAAATATAACAAAAATTATTATGAGAAGCAAAGAATTTCAATAAATTATGACTAGTTGATTAATTAAACAAATTAATAGAAGTATAGGACTCACCGGGAGCAATGTAGCCACAGGAACCGGCGATGACCGACATCGATTTCGTTCCTTTTCCGATAGCATCCACCACTTTCGCAACCCCGAAATCGGCCACCTTAGCACCAAACTCGGCGTCTAACAAGATGTTATTTGATTTCACATCCCTATGAACAATAGCCGGGACACAATCATGGTGCAAGTAAGAAAGGCCTTCAGCAGCATCGAGGGCGATTTTGTACCTAGTAGGCCAATCTAATAACCCTGATTTCGGACCATGTAACAAATCACCCAAACTACCATTTGGCATGTACTCATAAACAAGCAATTTACAATCCTTAGTCTTGCAACAACACCATAACCTCACTATATTCTTATGCCTAATCTTCCCTAGTGTCTCAACCTCGGCCTCGAATCCATTGTCCTGAACAACCCCACCGTTCTCGATATCGCCCCCTTCGGCGAATTTCGATATCGCCCACAGCTTCTTCACCGCAACCGCCTCCCCATTGCTAAGCACAGCCTTGTAAACCTTACCCGAAGCGCCTGATCCAATCACATTATCCTCATCCAAGCAATCCAAAATCTCGTACTCACTAAATCCCAATTTGTGAAACGACATCAATGTCCATTTCGACTTATCGATTGTGCTCTTTACTTGCTTGAAATTTCTGTACTTGTAATAAAACCAAACTACACCCACTAAGAACACAATTGCAGCAAGAACAAATATTGTTCTTAATACCCAAAGATATCTTTCTCTTTGAACTTCCACCTTACTATCACAAAGGCCTGATATATCGCCGCATAAACCCGGGTTTCCGAGGAACGAATTCTTGTACATTTCCTTGGCGTAAAACGGCGGTAGTTCACCGGAAAGATGGTTGTTCGACAAATTGAACTCATTCAACTTCAGATTCTGCAATTCACCCGGAACTGAACCCGAAAGCCGGTTATTCGACAAATCAAGGTAATTCAGCGATGTTAGTGTACCGATTTCCTCCGGAATTGAACCGGATAAATCATTGTTTCCTAAATCAAAATCATTTAGTTTCTTCAAGGACTTAATCCCAGGTGAGATTTCACCGGATAATTGATTATTATTCAAATGTAACCGCTCTAATTGTGGCAACTTCAGCATTGAATCTGGTAATGACCCGGAAAATCGATTATTATCCGCCATGAAACTTACTAAATTGGTTAACAACCCGATTTCTTCCGGAATTTTCCCTGAAAAACTGTTGTTAGAAATCAAGATTAGAGACAAATTCGAAGCAGAAGCAATAGATTTCGGTATCTTCCCAGTAAACTCGTTGAATTCGAGTTCAAGTAGTGAGGTTCGAGGAAGCCCCCAGAAACCCGAAGGTACATTCCCGGAGAATCGATTTCCGCTCAATCGTATTCGTGTTAATGACTTGCACTCAGACAAACTCGCCGGAATTTCACCGGAGAATGAGTTCCCGATCACCAGAAGCTCAGCTAATTCACGATTTGCGCACAAATTCGGAGGTAATTCGCCAGTGAAGTTGTTAAACGAAACATCGATCAGATTTAACGGCGAGTTCTCACCGAGTTTCCGAGGCAACTCACCGGCGAATCGGTTGTTGTAGATCTTGAACTCGTACAAATTCGGCGAGTCCGCTATACTCTCAGGAACCACTCCATGAAATTGGTTCTGGTACAAGTTGAAAGAAGAGAGTGGGAGCTGAGCCAACTCGTCGGGAATCGTCCCGGTAAGATTGTTCATCGCCGCGTCAAATCGTAACAGAGATTTCATGTTCTTCCATCCAAGAGGCAACTCGCCGGTGAACTTGTTCTCGTAGAGCTCAATCTGAATAGCACTGGTCATTTCAGTGAGCGAACTCGGGAGTTTTCCGGTCAAATGATTCTGCGAAACGTCGAAATTCAGCACATTCTTCAGAGTACCGAGCGAGTCAGGCAACTCGTCGAAAAGGTTAGTTTGAGTTGCCCAGAAATACTTGAGATTCGTGAGTTTCCCGAGTTCAGGACCGAGTCGACTCGGTAGAAACGGGTTGAAACTCAGATTAAGTGTGTTTAAAGTAGAAACGTTGCTAAAAAACATGGGAAACTTTCCACTAAAAAAGTTATCCACCAACGAAACAACCTCGAGTTTCTGGAAGCTTCCAAAAGTCGCCGGAACTTCTCCGGTAAAGTTGTTGTAGCTCAAGTCCAAGTACTCGAGCGTTGGAATAGAGGACAGAGAATCCGGCAAATTTCCGGTGAACCCATTTTGAGAAAGGTCCAGATGCCGGAGACTCTGACACGTAGAAATATCCGGTGGCAGGGACGAGTTCAGATAATTATCGTAGAAAGAAAGGTATTCCAGATAACGGAGTCGGCAAACGATGACCGGAAAAGGGCCGACAAGGTTAGCACTGGTGATTTCAATGGAGGTGACAGAACCGGAAGCCGAGTCACAGGTGATTCCGGTCCAATTACAGGGGGTGCGATGAGAGTCATTCCAACCGGAAAAAAAGCCGTTTGGATCGTCGAGAGATTGTTTGACGTGTTGTAAGTAGAGACCTTCTTGGTTGATGGAGAGAGTTGGTGGTGGGAGAGAGAAGAGGAGGAAGAAGACGAAGATGGTTAGCATGTTTGGTTATGGAGGAGAGAGAGTGTGAGTGAGCATGGAATGGGAGGAGAGAGAATGAGAAAGAGGTGGGAACAAGAGTGGATGGTTTTTTTTTGGTGAATTTTGAACGTGGTGTATATAAGGGAGTTAGTAAAAATAAAGTGAGGTGCGTTTTTTTTTTTTTTTTCCATTTTTTGTGGGAGGGTGAATCATGCTCGGATGTTTTATGTGTATGGATCTCGTGATAATATTGTTGATGTGGTGTTACCATATGTCTTTGACCATAGTCTTATGAGTAAACGAGTATTGTTTGTAAATTAAGTTACCGGCAAATTGATAATAGATGAAAATATAGTCTTGTTTACATGAAAAGTTATAGAATTTCAAAAAAAAAAAAAAAAGAATAAAACACATTTAAAAGTTGAAAATAAAATAAAATGTCGACGGTCTTACAAAAAAAAATGTTCAAGACAATTTGACATTAATCTTCCTGTCAAAAAAAGACATGAATCTTATTAGATACGGAGTAACTTTTATTAGGAAGAGAGGGGACTTCACTTAAGGTCTATTCTGATTTAATAAATTGAGCTGAACTGAATTAAATTAATTGGAGCTGATCTAAAATGAATAAAGTTGAAATGAATATTTAATGAGATAATGAAATTAAAAACTAAAATGAACTGAAATTAAGCGGAAGAGAACAGGTTGAAATGGGATTCGAACACCTGTCACAAGGGTGAAAGTTCTCTACTCTCTAGCCACTAAACGAATTTGAATTTTCGGCCAGTAACATAACATGATTCATGTACATTGTAAATTAAGTACGTATATTAATATTGTATGTTTATTACTCATACATACCATATCATGTGTGTAGTTTTTACAAAATGGGTAATGTACTAATGTGCATTAAGTGATTTCAAATTTTACAAGTTATTGAGAAAAAGAAAATAACTGTTTTTTTTTTTTTTTACGGAGTATTAAATTTGATACTTACATAGAGTCGAGTATTTTAAATCAGGTGTATTTGGATACTGGAATACAGGGAATATATAAGTATATAACGGCTTGTCACTAGGTACAATAGAATTTTAAATAAAAAATTATGGGTAAATAGGGAACGGAGGGAGTAAAAATTATAAAGTGCAGAGTAAAAAAAAAAATAGGTGGGTTAACTTTGGAAGCGGTGTGGTGGGTCAAAGGAGGTGAACTTGTTTGTAGAATGGGAGAGTGTATGTTTGGTTTGATGAGACGATTCACGAGGTGTCGTTGATGATATCAAAGGGTTGATGTTTGATGTTTGATGTTTGTTTTATGTTCCCAATTCTTGGAAGCTCTCGTAATTAACTACTACTTTTTGGAAACATGGTTACTTTTTTCTTTTTATAAGGGTAATAAATTTGATACGGAGAAGCATCTCTACTTTGCCTAGTTTTTACTCACTTGAGTAATATTTTCTTTTGTACTCCCCAAGTTTTATGGTCAATCTCGGTTTTTACCTTTCACATCATACCACTTATCTTATTGTACAATTTATTTTATTATTGTTATATTAGGAAGATATTCAACTTCTTTGATTAGACTTGTATATGTAATGTACTACACTTCACACTACTACTCCAATACAACGTACATTCAACTTAAGATAATTTGTATCATATGAACTCTCCTGACAAAGAGAAATTCCTAATGTAATTACTACTGGTAGTATGTTATTTATGTAACAGCATAAACATCAATAAGAATATATTTCCGTACAGCTAATTTTTTGAATGGCTAAAAAAATCTTTATTGATGCTCAAATGGCTAATAGTCTGTTCATATTTACTTAATTTCAGTTCAATTCAGCTCCAATCAGTTCGGTTTAACTCCTAATTCCCCTCTCTCATAAAATGTTCAGTTCAGCTCCTAATTTCCCTCTCTTATAAAATATTCATTTCAGTTCTGTTCAGATCAGCTTCAATCAATTCAGTTTCAGTGAATGTGAACATGCCCTAAAAGAATTCTCTTTCAAAAAAATGATAGATCTCTATTTCTGAAGAAGAAACAAATCCTTGGTCTCTATGTTATCTGTTACGAGTATTAAAAAAAAGGAAACAAAAAAAAGTGTTTCAACTTTTGGTCGTCAGTTTTAAAATTACCACGAGTTTAATAAATTTCACTATTTTTTATTCATTATATGACAGAAAATCACAGTGATGTCAAACAAACCTTAATACTTCCGGAATTTTTTTTTTTATATAGTTGTAACAGTTTGACTTTTACACTAATCATGATATGTGTTTCACTTTGACTAGCTTTGACGATTCATGCTTAAGTAAAACCATAGTCATGTGTTATCTTGTTAGATTTGTCTCAATTTATACAATTTTAATATAAAATGTTTATAATTTTAACATACTGGTAAATAAAGATATAAGCAATCGAAAACATGCATTGCAAAAAAGAGAAATGTTGCAACTATTAAAAAAATAGAGAAAGTATTAATTAAATATATTAATAGGATATTTTCAAAAAAAAAAAAGGTACATTATATTAATGGGATTGAAAATATATGGTGGGATATACTCCGTATGTAAATAGGAAAAAAAATGAAAAAGGATCCTCGTTGATATTGAAAATAAATAAATAAGGAGGATGAGAAAAAGGATTGAGATTATAAGTAATGATATGGAGGAATGAGAGTATGATGTGTCAAATAAAGGTTAAAAAAAAAGTAAATGATAATGGATATATGAAGGGGTGTTCATAAATCGGACCGGACCTAAAAAAATGGACCCGACTAGACTGGACTGACCCAGGATTGGACCAGACCGAATTAATCGATCCGGCCTTCAGGTCTATATTTTTTTCCTGGTCTAGATCAACACCCTATAAAAAGTGGTCTTGGACCAAACTAATTTTTTGCTTAAAATTATGCGTGAAACCTTAAATAATACAGTAGTTAAGATTATCCTTAAGTTTAGAAAATTTTAATTTTATGAGGTTTTTTTGGATTAAACATACCAAAAAAAAAAAAAAAGGTTAAAATATAGTTTTTTTGCTTCAGGGTTTAGACTGATTTTTTTGGTCCGGTCCGGTTCAGTCCCATCTTAATCGGTCCATTTTCCGGTTCTTAAAATTCTAATTTTCGGTCAGAGCCGCTTGGACCAATTAGCTGCCCTAGATATATGTATTCTCTACATTGTTCAAGTTCTAATTAGAGCTGTAGTTTTATTTTTTACTATCTCAACAAAATATTTATTAAGCGGATAGTTAAAACCGCAATATGTTTTATATTCTGTCAAAACACTTCTTATTTGTAAAAAAGTCAAATATAACCAAACCAAACTAATAAAAAATCTCATACGAGTTGTTCTCAAAGTCTCAAAAACAAATTCATCACGATTAAAGGCAACTTGAACTTCTTTTAAAAACAAATTATGAGTAAAAGCTTTTATATAATTAAAGTTGGTTAGCAAATTCAGTGACAAGAGCAAGGAAACGTAGATGAATAAGCATGATTGTAAGGCTAGTGGGGTCATAAAAGAAAGAAAGCGTTGAAGAAGTAGAGACAGACGACAATAGTACGTACAAAGCAGATGCCTGTAAAAAAAAACTTGTGATGATTCTACAAAATAAGCGTGATCTGATTGCTTGTGTAAAGAAGATGACTGACTAGTGAAAATAGTAGAAGTTACTGCATAAACATTTGAATCTAATGGTCTCCAATGCACACTTCATGCCGCATTATGTATAGATTAGACTCTATTCCACTATACTCCACAGCTACCTCCTGTTTTGTTATGATGCATATTGCATGCATTTCATGCCCTCTTTTATGTTCCGTCATAGTAGTATTCCATTTGTTTGTAAATTGGACATTCAATAATAGACTTAGGGTCTGTTTCGATTGACTGAACTCAGCTGAACTGAACTGAACTGAGTTGAACTGAACTGAACTGAACTGAACTTATTAATTAGTGATTTTTAACTACGGATTAGTGATCTTTGATTATTTATTACTATAAATATGTGTATATACAAATGTACATATTATTATTAATATTATTATTAATAATAATTATTGATGATTATTATAATTATTTATTGATTATTATTATTATTATTATTTATTGATTATTATTATTAGTATTATTATTTCAATTATTATTGTTATTATTATTATTATTTATTGATGATTATTATTATTATTATTATTATTTATTACTTATTGATTATTATTAATATTATTATTATTATTATTATTGCTAATATTATTATTATTATTGTTGTTGTTGTTGTCGTTGTAATAAGAGCTTAAAAGAATGAAATTTGGTTTTATATCATTAGCAATATCATTAGACGTAAATTAAGAGCTGAACTGAACTGAATTGAATTTCAACGGAAGAGAACAGACCCTTAGGCACTTCTCTCATCAGATTCAGTTCAGTTCAGTTCAACTCTAATAATTAAGTTCAGTTTAGTTAAGTTCATATCTATTAATTCAGTTCAATTCAAAAAATGAGCCCTTAGGCCCTTAAAAGAATTGCTCTGCTCTGCTGAAATATGTTATGCGTGCTTTACTTTGCTTTGCTAAGCCCTGATGTGTTCTATTCTATTGAAATATGCTCTGCTTTACCTAGAAGCTAAAAAAAACAAGGCTTTACTCATTCTCAGTTTTAGTTGGTGTGGTCCCTAGAATTTTTTATACGAGTATTTTAATTGTCGTTGAAATGTTGATTAATAAATCTACATACCCAGTCAATATAACTCTTAATAAAGTAAAAACTGTAGATCGATCAAACTTTGAGCAGCGAGATGGATTATTTGTGGCGTTGTGGACTTGTGGGGTGATTTAAGTATGTATTTTAAGGGCCATAACAATAACAAGGTGCATATCATTTTGCCTAGCTAGTTTGGCTTTTTTGTGAGAAAGCATGTAAATGCGTTTTGATTGTGTCATGTCTCTCCTTTTTCATGATCTTATTTTTGGTTTACTCTATACATACATAAAACAAGAAAAAGTAAATGTTCTTTTTATACTGTTATGAGTAACATATTTATCTTGTTTATTTACATAATTACACTACTCGTGTTTTTTTTATGTATGATTTCTCATGAGTAACATAGTTGTCTTGTTTACATAATTACACTACTCATGGTTTTTTTTATGTATGATTTCTCATTAGTAGAGTTAAATTTACGAAATCATGCTGAGAAATATAATGTATATTCTCCCTACTTAATTAACTTAAACCCCACCACACCCTAACACTGTAATTACGTAAAAAAATTTGGACCTTTATTTTTGTTACTTTTTTAAAAAATGATGTAATGAAAAAAAAAATCTGAACTAGCATGATCGGATTGTATTACAAGTGATAGAGTGAGTGTGACTTG